ATGTGTGTGTGTGTGTGTGTGTGTGTGTGTGTGTGTGTGTGTGTGTGTGTGTGTATGTACCAAAATTAAGTGGAGGAAAAGTATGGTCCTGTATTAAAACGAAGGCAAAACTGCTGGGACTGGTAGATAGTGCAGAGATTTTATTTGTGAAGCCTGCTTGCCGCTAGCTTTTTGTCGTCGATCAGACGCAAACGGTAACGAGTTGATGTTTCTAAACATTGTTTCTCAAATGACTTTTGAATCTTTAATCTGTTCAAGTGCAAGATAAAGAAAACTCTGACGATGTCGGTCATAATAGAAACATCTATTGGAGACCTGACGGTCGACCTTTATACAGATGAAAGACCGAGATGTAAGTAAACCCCCGAGCCCGAACTCAAAACTACAAAACTCTCAGACTCGACTTGGACTTACAAGTGTTAGACTTTAAGCCTTTCATTGAGCCTTTTTCCTGATCGATTGAGGTTGTAATTTCAGGATTTAGCCAAGACCTAAACTTGCACTTGATAACTTGTTTTTCCTGAATCACAGTCTATTTATTGGGTAAATTATAGAGATTTTGAGCAGGCAGGTATCTTGGCGCTTTTTCGGTAGATTCTAGTTCCCACCCCGCAGTTGTTTTGGCCCCAAGAGTAGGGGGGTTTCAGGGGGCCCCTGACCTAATTAAAATGCGATGAGGGGGGGGGGGGTCAGGGGGGGATTTTACCTTAATTTGATGTTTTGCAGTTTTTAGGTTTGGTTTACTTAGCTCGCCGCGCTTCAAAATATCTAGATCCAGATGTAGCTAGATCTAGGCTTAAATAAGGGGGGTGGGAACTACCGAAAAAGCACCGGTATCTTAACCCTCGTCCTGCGGGGGCTGTCGCCCGATAAGCCTATTTTTGCACCTCGCCCCTGCATTCGGGTCCCGAGTCAGTCTAGCCCTTGGCTCAGCCCACTCGCACTGAGCATCATCCCACATGAAATTCGGGTCCCGCATCGGATCCCCATTCGTGTAGGTCGAGTGTGTGTGCGTCAGTCTGCTTGAGTTTGTGTGCATTTGTGGCCTTCTTCTAGAACCGCCTGCGTTGGTTCGCGATTGAGGCATACACGTCTCATTCAAAACACGCCAAGTTGGTATATTGATCTCTAGATGTTCGTCCTATGAAATTATAGAAGAAATTGACCCATTTAGACATGAGGAGCTCTAAAGGATAGTCAGGAAACAAGACTTCCATTTTTCTTAGATACAAAATCTTTCAAATGAGCTTGATTTTGTATGAAATGATACTACCTGATAAAAAATAAGTTTGTTTGATAGTTTTGAATACCATTGTGCAGGTGCAAAGAACAAACAATTTCAGTTCAAAACATTCAGAAATTGACCTATATTATCCCCTTTCGATCCTCAGGTCATTCATAACAACAAGAGCGTCTAGAAAGGTTTAAATTCGAATGGGCGTAACTACTCGTAATGTCTTATCAGCTTGTGAGAGGGGGATTCATGTGTTTGTAACACTTTATTAGAAAGCTGTGAAAGAAAGAGTGTTATTTTCAGTGTAGATTAACACACTCCCATGGTATTCGGCCTGCGAGAGGTCAAGCGGAAGTCCTCGCCTCATGCCCGCACATTCCTTTTTACTTCCCTTGCATTTCTAGATCTAATATCTAGTTCTTGCATTTTTTTAGCGTTACACATTTAGTTTTTACTGTTAGTTCAAACAATTATGAAATTTGTGGTGGTATTGAGACAACCGATTCTGCTGTTGATGTCGACATCTGCATTTTTTTTGTTTGTTTCAGGCTGCTTGAACTTTCTGAAGCTTTGCAAAGTCAAGTACTACAACTTTTCACTTTTTCATTCCGTTCAGGTAAAGATTTCTCTGTGTTGTGTGTTTTTGTCCTTGTGTGTAGAATAGCTTCAACATATGTCTCTTAAGTAGACTTGCTATACTGAGCAGTAACAACATGTCTGTGTTTGAAAACTGATTCCAAGACTACGAAATGATCAGTCATTTTTTTAAAAGTCTTTTAAAAAGTGTTTGATGATTCAGAAGTTTGATTTAGATCTAGAATTAATTAAATCTCAGGTAAGAAAATGTTGCATCTGCGTTATTGATTGGAACAGAGGGGATTGTGAAAATTTTAAGCTTCTGAAGCTGGTAGAACTGTACTGATGTTCATTTGGTTTTTAAATAACTCTGTCAGTATGTTGTGTCAGCACATCAGAATAGTCCTTTACATGAGTCAACAGTTTACCATGTTCTTATAAATGAAGACACAAAAATAGTTTGATATATGCTAGTTTTGTATGCTGCCCTGCATCTCCACACTTCTTTTTAAAGTTTAGAAGTATTCTCATCGTAATGCAATTCTTGGTGTCTGTGCTTTTGAAAACAGGGTCAAGTGTTTTTTTAAAATTGTTTCCTAATTTAGTATACAAGTCAAACATCTACTTTCCCTTTCTTTTCAATTTTATCCACTTTTTCTGGTTTCATTTTTATATTTCATTGATTTGTGCAGGCAAAAGTAGAGTATTGTAGAGGCAAAATAATGTGGCGAAACCATATACTTGCCCATGACACCACAAGCTGTTTATCAACACTTGGAGGGTTAAAGAAAAAGGAGACAACATTCACGTAAGATGTAAAATAAAAAGGCAACCCTGTCACCTCAGAGATGGGATTAATTACTGAAATGTTGTACTTTATTCTGCCCCATTTTTGCTTCCTCCACAGGAAAATCTTGTTGCTCAAGTAGGAGACCCCACAGCCTCTGGAAGAGGTGGAGAGTCAGTTTTTGCGTAAGTTTTTCAGAAAATTCATGGAGCAAAGTCTGTTTTTTAATGCTAGCTTTATAGTGTAGTGTGAGTCATTGATGTCTTTTTTGGGAACAAGAGTACTTAGAGCTGAAGTTGCTTAGTTGCAAGATGAGAAATTGAATGAACAGAATATTTTTGTGTTGATATTGTAAGAAAATGTTATGAGAAGGATTTATGATTTGAGAACTCTTTGAGAATTCAGCATAGATTTGCTTCAGTGGAGAAAGTTAGTTTTTTCCTCTGTAAGTGATGATTTAGATGCATTTAGAGTTTTTTTCTCATAAAAATTTGATTATTAAAAGGAGTGGAAAAAGTTTTAAATGAACTTTACAATCTCATTGGTCTTTTGTTTCTGTGGAAGAAACTACGCAATTATGTCTGTTTATGTTTTAGATGTTGTTTGTTGCATTTTCAATTAATTTTCTCCTCAATTTTGTCACAAATTTTGTACAGGCAACTTTATGGGGAACAAGCAAGATTTTTCGACATGGAGGTCAATCCTCGCATTAAGCACACAAAGAAAGGGCTGATCTCAATGGTGAACAATGGCAGTGGAATGCATGGGTCACAAGTGAGTTTTGATGAGAACTACATTATTTTTGTTATCGTTTTTTGACACCTTGGGCTTTGTAAGATTTTGGTGTCTTTCAATGTACATACTCACGACTGTAGTATCATAATCAGGCTCCTTGCTTTGTATGCAAAAGAAGTGAATTAGGTTCCTTCACATGAGGAAGATATTATTTTATCTAGTACTAGTACTGCCGTATAGCTTCTGGGAATCATCATACCCTTGAGTGGGTTGACCCTTAGAGACATGGTCAAAGCTGCCTGCAATTTAGATAATCAAAATTGTATTTATGAGGTGCTAAACATATGTACTCCATCTAGATTTACATGTTCAGTGTTGAATGTATCAGCAGAAAGGTCACGAAGGGTGAGCCTTGCGTAGGCTCTCTGAACATTCTCTGAACTTTGCTCTCAAATTGGAAAATAAACAGAAAAGTAGATTACTCTTGCAAGGTCATGAATTACTCTCAGTCTGTGACCATAGAATTTATGTGTTTAACTTGTGCACTGGGCAAAAACAAAAATATTGTCTGTTAATTCATAACTGTGCATTAACAAAAAACTTTCATTCGTTAATTCATAACTCGTGTTACATAAATTTATGTTGTTTTTGTTCTCCTCCACAGTTTTTCTTCACTCTTGCTGATGATTTAGATTATCTCGATGGAAAACACACCGTGTTTGGAGAGGTGGCAGAGGGCTTTGACATCCTCGAAAAGCTCAACAAAACATTTTGTGATGACAGTTTTCGGCCTCACCAAGATGTCAGGTACAACTGTGACAGAAATATTTGCTTGTTTTTTTTTTAATAGATTTTTTAAAATCCCAAATAGTCAGGCGATAGGAGAAAAGTGATTATTTTTCTAAATATGTCATGATAATATCTTTTTATCTCTTTGTCCTTTCTATTTATCTTCACTGGATGGTAATGATGATTTATCTTCTCTAAACTTATGTCACGGAAATGCTCAAAATGTTTTTTTTAATTTTGACTGGTTCCTGTTTTCCCCCAAGTCCTGCTGTGTCAGATATGATTGTTAATATGATACAAGTTATTAAATCAGCTGATTACTGTATTTTTAATTTGAAATCAGTATTTTCTGATTCTACCTAAAATTTGAGCTATTTGACATAACACTGATTTTTCGATACAATGCAGTTGTTACATGCGATTCCTCAGATTGTTGATTTTTGCGTAAAAAGACAAAGAGTTGATCCTTTATTGGAAAGCAGTGTAGAGTTAATTCAGAACTGTATTATAAGTACTTGTTTAAACGTAGCTAATTGTATTTTATTTACTGTGTTATCATTTTATATCAACGGTATTGGTTGACTTTTGTGTTTTCAGAATTTATCACACAGTTTTGCTGGATGACCCCTATGATGACCCGGATGGTCTAGAGATTCCTGACGCGTCCCCAGGGCCGACACGAGAAATGCTGGAGGTAAAGGATTGCATGATACTTAACACATTGTACTTTTAAAAGTTTTGAACGTTTTTAAATCAATGAGGGCCAGGCCATGTTTACGTGTGTGACCGTAATGAAACTACATGCTTGCATTTGTGCGCTTTTCCTTTTTTTTAACCCATGAGAAATTTTATAATCATCAAGTCGCACACACACTCACACTTATACCCACACACACCCTTGTATATATATTGTCAAAAAGAGTAAATGATCAAATGTTTTTTATTTCTCTTTTTATGTTTTCAGAGTGATCGGATTCCGTGTGACGCAGATGTTAATGAAGACGAAGGAAAGACGGAAGAGGAGCTTGCAGAGATGATGGCAGAAAAGGAAGCTAAAGCAAACACACAGATTTTAGAGATGGTATGGGAAACAAAAACAAGTAGAGATTGCTACATTTCTCTTTTTGATTTGGAACTTTTTTAAAAGAAAAAAATATCGGATCTGGGCCTTTGTTGCAGAATGTTAGTGAATCACTTGTGGATTTTGTCAATGATGTGTAGTTTAACGTCTATAATTTCGAAGGATATTCGCCTCAATGCTTACCGTAGTAAACGTGAGTGGGGGGGGGGGGGGGGGGTGAGAGAGAGAGAGAGAGAGAGAGGGGAGGGGGGCTTGAGAGAAGCAAAGAGAGATATTTTCCCTGACTTTTTTACTTGTATTTTCCATATTATGAGCAGAGAAAGAAACAGATGGCTCAGACACGGACATAAAAAGCAAGACCAACTGACTGACCCAAAGACAAACACTTCCTCTGCTGTTTACATAACCAACAGAATATTTGATTGCGTTTCTGTCCATCCCTCAAGGTTGGAGATTTGCCCGACTCTGAAGTGGCGCCCCCTGAGAATGTGCTGTTTGTCTGCAAGCTGAATCCAGTCACCACCTCGGATGATTTGGAGATCATTTTCTCTCGCTTCGGCCAGATTGTCAGCTGTGAGGTCATCAAGGTAAATGTCTCGTATTTCAGGTACAAAGAATGATCTGAAATTTTCCTTTTGTCTATGATTGAGCTTTTTGTAATAATACAGATGCAACTTTTTCAGTTATTAGTAGAATCCTTTGTTTCCTGTAAATTGCCTAGGAAATTGGTCAATAAGGATGCAATTATGAAATATTAATTCAACATTGCACATTCTTCAGAGTGCATTCAAGGCTTACTCATGATCATACTTTTTTTTTTTACACATGTAGAGAAAATGTCCACTTTCATTTTGTGAACAGCCTCGATTGTAGTCTTTCTAGTTTTTCTTCTTTCTTTTCTTTTTCTTTAACTTTGTCGATTTATGAGAGGTTAAAATGATCAATATGTTTTTTAATAGTCTTTAATGGTAAGTGATATTTTTTATTACTGAAGCGTAAGTTGATTTCATTTCCTTTGAAACGAATCGGTAAAGTGTGTCAAGTCTGAGAGTGATGAATGTTGATGAGATGAAAAAGAATCTGCTGTTGCATATTTCTTTCCTCCAGGATTCCAAAACAGGAGAGTCGCTGCAATATGCCTTCATAGAGTTCAGTGATCCGAATGAATGTGAGAACGCCTATTTCAAGATGGATAACGTCCTGATTGATGACAGGAGGATCCATGTTGACTTCAGTCAGTCTGTGTCCAAACTGAAGTGGAAAGGGAAAGGTGAGAGGTCAAGAAATGGGTTTTGTCATTATAAAGTAATTCATATGCTTGTTAGGTAGCTGTCTGTGTAAGGAGAACAACATTGTGATGGTATTCTAAGAGAACGGCCATTCCATGAAAAATGAAAAGGTCTTTTTTAGGATCAATTTTGAGATTTATGGAAACTGTTTTGTAATCTTTTTCTGGTCTTACAGCTTTCTGTTGCTTCTATTAATACTTTTTTCTCAACCCAGCGCTGACAATATTGTCGAGGCCAAACTGTACGCAAGCTATTTGTCAATGTCAGTGTTTCCTCTTAATGTTTTGCTGTCAGATTATTTTATTTTTTTTGGGGGGGGGGGGGGAGGGGGGGTTATATCAATAAACAGCAGATCTGAAGTCTTAATATCCTTTTCCACGTAGAGATTTTATGCTTTAAATTTGGTCCTCTAAAAAATGTGTAAATTCTGGTTTAAACAGTTCTACTGGGATTTGCGATACTGAAATAGGGCCACACCTTTATAACTACCAGTATTTGATGACCTTGCTGTGTATTACAAAGAAACGTGTGTGTTGTTGTATTTCAGGCCGAGGTGTTGAGATCATCACGGGGGGAACAGCTCCAGCTTTCATGCTCAAGAATCAACAACGCCAAGACGAGTATCCTTTTGTTTTATTTTTATGTGGGAAAAAAACAACTATGGTTTTGTTGTAAGCCACTGTGAGTCAGCAGAATAGGTAAAAGGAAAGCATAACAACCCCCTCCACCCATGTCTTCCTCCTGCATGGCTAAGATTACCACAGCCTACTGTTTCATATTTGTACAAGACAAAGCAACAGCTGCAATCCCACTGTGACCCCCGTATTTTGATCTCTGTAGGTCAAAACAGTGGTGGTGATGGGGGGATTAAAAATACTGCATTGTTACCACATTTAATTGCCCATAGCCCCCCCAAGTAAAGGATCTGACGACATCGTCCTGCTGGTTTGTTGTAAATTACTTTTTTTTAAACTGCTATTGTTTTAACTCCAGGTGGTAGGCTACTTTCCTTACTTTATGTTAGAGTGAGAGAGGGAGAGAGATGGATGGTTGGGGGGGTGCTCTGGTGTGGTTTACTCCTTCTTTCCTACCAAACATTTATCGTCCTTATCTGCCCCCCCCCCCCTCCCCCTTTCTTTGTATTTTACTCTCTAGTGCTATCTCTAACCTTCAGCACTGATGTGATCTACTTGTTTTTGATAGTGTCGTAAAAATCTTTCTAAAACTTAACTAATAGAGATTAGGTAGGGAGAGAGAAAGAATTATGCAGTAATATGCTAGGGATTTTAAAGTTTATCATTATTACTCAAGGCAACCTCCTTAACGTTAACGCAGCCGGTACGACTTGGTGTATGAGCATGATGATGATGCGGACGCTGGTGGTGACAACACACTCAAGAAGACGAAAAAGAATCGAGAGAAGAGCAAGAAGTCGAAGAAGCAAGATGACAGCGAGGATGAAAGAGATGACAGTCGCCAGAAAAAGGTATCTGACGTGATTTATTGTCAAACAAGAACTTCACAATTATAACATTCATTTTGTCTGTCTCACACTTCTAACCATATGTTTTGTGTCACCAGTGTCATGTATTTACTCAATTTTTCTGATTTTGATGTAAATCACTATTAACACTGAAGCTTTCTTATTTTTAAAACCTTTTTTTTCTACTGTCTTTGGTTTATAAAAATGCTGGTTAAAAAAACAAGCATAATACAGCCAGGCACAGATAACATGAACACAGAAATCTAAAAATGATGGATAGCTCGTACAATTTTCCATTCCCCAAGTGACTTCTCATTAGTATTTCGTTACATCGGTTTTTCCCGAATTTTGGATGTATCAAACATATTTATCGATCCGCGGCATGTTTGAGTTATCCATGTTTTACTGCTGTATTTGCTTTGATCTTTTTTCTTACCGTTGTTGTAGAATGTGGTTGGAGAGCGCCAGCAGTAGATCTTTTTTCTTTTCTTTCCCTCTATTGTTTCTGTCTTGCTTTTCCCCCTCAACTGAGTGACAGTGCAGTGTTTTGTTCATGCGCTTCTCTTTACTTGAACCTGACACTCTAACCTTTCTCTGCAGACAGAACGGATGGGAGATTAATTAAAATAAATCTATTGTGTATCCTTTTCCACAAAAAACTTCTTACCCTGTCCTTGTTTGTGGTGAGAAATTCTGATGGAGATGCCATCCCTCCAGGGCAGTGCTACTGACTGAAGTTGCCTTTAGGCCATTCCCAAAGGGGGGATATTACCATGTTCTTATGGACAGTAGAAATGTAAATGGACTAATTTATCAATGTAATGCTCATACTGTGCCGGAACAACATAAGGGGAACTGCTGCTTTTTCTTTCCTCATCATTACTGTTGTCTTTTTTCTACTTCTTTTGTATGTTTGTCACTCGCTTGTGAACTGCTATTTCTGGGGTGCCTTGATAGTCGAAGCAGACCTTGTGCTGTTGAGGCTAGAGAGGTGAGCAGAGTAAGCCTGATTCCCCGTTCGGACTTCTCTGCTGACATCCACCCCTTGGCGCTCACATTATGACCTTATGCAGTTGCGAGCACTGTAAAACCTTACTAAAGCTAAACTAAGCATTACTTTGTCATGCTCTTTTTCCTGTGTGCAGAGAAAGAGATCTGCGTCGCCCAGTCCCAACAACAGAAGCCGACAACGCGAGGTAGATGAACAGAGATACGACAACCGTAGAAGAGACGGGAGAGGGGATGAGAGACAACGTGGCAAGTTCGACAATAGAGATGGGAGGCAATCTGGCAAGTATGGTGACAGAGATGGGAGACAGCCTGGCAAATACGACAACAGAGATGAAAGACAGCGTAATTCTCATGACCACAGGGACAATTATCGGAAAGATTCGAGAGATAGGGCCGGAAACGACTCAAGGTCACGAAGGGATGACCGAGATGATGATTACTCATCACGGAGAGATGGGCGTGGTGGTGGTGGTGATAGAAGGTCAAGGCTGGACGATCGTGAAGATGGCAATAGGGCGAGAAGAGATGATCGTGATGATTACAGATGGAAGAGAGAGGAAGGAAGGAGCAGAGAGGGTGCTGAGAAACGAGACGACAGAAGAAAGCATAGATCTCGGAGTCCGGCTGTCAAGAATGATCGAGCGAGAGAAAGAAGTCGCAGCCAAAGTTCTGAGGATAGCAGGGCAGCCCATAGAAACAGAGATAAGAAAAGAAGGAATGACTCACAAGAGAGGAGTAGAGTGAGAGAAGGTTCAAGCGAGGAGGACAGACAAAGAAGCAAGGTGAAGGACACAAACAGAGACCAAACAAAAAATGGTAAAAGTCGCAAAACCGAGAAAAGGCACCAAAGTTCAGATTCATCAGAGGATTCCAGTGAAGACGAGAAGAGGAAAAGTCATAAAAAAGACAAGAAGAAGAAAAAGAAAAGGAAAGCCAGCAGCAGTGATGAATCTGAGGATGAACGGAGGATGAGAAGGAAAGAAGAAAGAGATGTATCTGCATCATCATCAGATGAGTCGGTGAAGAGGAAAAAGAAGAAGAAAAAGGACAAGTCGCGGAGGTAGTGATGGATGAGTCGCCTAGTTGTTGAAAGTGTTTGTGGAATTGAACTGAGTGCGAGGAATTGCATAAATGTTTGTTGTGTTTGAGCGTTAAATCGGCTGCTTGCACTGTGTGCTTTCGGAGAAGCTGAGAATTTTCTGAGTGTTCTAGGGTCAGTTGGGGTAATAATTAATGATAATATAGGTTGTATAATGCATAACGCTTGCCATTGCGCAGGGATATGCACTAGACAAATGCTATTTTATTAATTACTATTTATCATAGTATTGTGGATACAAGAGTCAAAGCGTTCCTTTTTCAATGCATTATTCTGTTACATGTATTATGTATTACATTTGTTGTCTTATGGCTTAGCTGGGAGTTTTTTGCAAAGAGAAGAGGGCATTGTTAAATAACGCTAGAGTCAAGGGATTCCTTTTTTAATACATTATTATTTTGTTATTACATTTGTTGTCTTATGTCTTAGCTGGAAGTTTTCTGCAACGGGAAGGAGGGGTTGTTATATATATATACAAGAAAAGTCGTCACTGTCATTCATCATTGTTGAATGTCAAAATACAAGGTTTTTACAAAAAGCAAACAATGTTTTATTTCTGACAGGACATTATGTTAACACAAAATATTAGTTCGTCTAAATCCGTTTCTATTTTAAGAACAGGAATGAGACTAGGACCAACCGATGTGCCTCATTAAACTCTACAACATACTTGTACTTGATTTTCATTTTTTTTTGGGGGGG